CAGGTAGTAGTTGCTATGCGAGTAAACTCACTCCAATCTCAATAGGCGCTCTAGCAACAGACGCTAAGAGGCTGCAGTCTTTAGCCTCCTTGTTAGAGCGCCGACTCTCATGCCGGAGACCCGGGTTAGAGGCTCGCTCGGAGCGGGTCTAGTAGGACCCGGTGGAGGGGTTACACGCCAAAAATGGAAATATGAATTGCGTGTCATACATACGCAATTTCATGAGATCAGTCTGAAGCCTGACACTACTTCATGTGTCTCTGGAAGATGGCAGCTTCAACCCCTGTGTTGCGGACAAGATGTCTGCTCTTACTAGCTGGCACTGCCATGGCCCCAGAAGCGTCGGATCCGCCCTGGCCCCCAAAAGTTTATTTGTTTATTTCCTTTACAAAGATGCATATAAAGTTTCCACCTCTATTAAAAGCTGTGCACGAAATGTGCCTCATAATACCACATTAAAAATCCATCTTTGTGAATAAAAGTGTTGTCCTCACCTTGTGGTAGCTTGTTGAAATTCAAAGGGGAATCTGATATGCATGTTTAGATGGAGGTCGGATGTCGTATGTATCTGATTTAAAACCACATTTAGAAGTGGCTCAATGTAAATTCATTGTTTTCATAATTGTTTTTTAGAAAATCTGGCAGTAGATGGAGCCGCTACACAGTCATCAACATCTGGGGAAGGGTTTGCTGAAAAGGCTGTTGATCGAGGTCTCCAGCAGTTGTACACGGGATGCTCCTCAACCCTTAATCAGACTAACCCGTGGTGGAGGCTGGATCTGCGTTACATTTACAGAGTTAGTAATGTGGTCGTCACGAACAGACGAGACTGCTGTGCAGAACAAATAAACGGAGCGGAGATTCGCATCGGGAACTCTTTGGAGAACAACGGCAACAACAATCCCATGTGAGACTCTTGAGGTTAAAAGAACATGAGAGCTTGAGTACAAATATAGATTTGAATAATTGACAGTATCTTGATCTGCTTGATCGGTTTCTCTCTCTGTCTGTAGATGTGCTGTTATTCCTGCTATTCCAGCAGGCGAGTCCTACAACTACTCATGTGGTGGGATGGAGGGACGTTATGTGAATCTGATCGTTCCTGGAGACATGAAGACACTCACTCTCTGTGAGGTGAAGGTCTATGGAGAAGGTACACACTCGGTTTATAATATCAGATAATAATAATGTCTCCACGTGGTCATAAATTTTTGTCAACAAGACACAGTGAGGAACAGGGAAATGCTTTAATAAATGCCAATATGTAGGTTCCAATATTTATAATATTTCATTGTCAATTGAATTCAAAGTTGTATGTATTTACATGTATGACTGTGTTTGTTTAGGTCCCTGTTTAAAAAGGTCATTAGTAAAAATGCAGTTTAACTCCATCAATGATTTGACTGACCCTTCAATGAGAGAAAATGTTCTGAAACAGGTGAGAGAAAGAAACCAATTCAAACTTTATGATTACTGTGAGAAGCATAGATCAGGCAAAATTGTTCTCAAGTCATTTAATTTTTGCTGCATTTTATAGTAAACATAAAATGTTTATTTATTGGCATTGATTATTCCAATAAGAACCTTTAATATTCATGTAATCTTTCCATATATTGACTCTCAGTGCTGCGCTGACAGTGCTATGGGAAAACATCTTGTTTACATATGGTAACCCTCGTTCCCTGAGGGAGGGAACGGAGACCTAGGTCATGACTGACCAATAGGAATCTCGCTAGAGAGGCCAATCTACTTCGATTGAAAGTTTGCACATTGACATACTGTGCTTTTCGGGGAGAAATGTTTGAGTTTCACATTCTGATCTAATCATTTTATTATGAATGTTATTTTCAGTTGGGATCTGCTCTTGCTGATAGAGGACTCACAGATGTGAAACTGCGATGGACTCAAACTCCTGAACGGGTGATCCAGAAGGGGAACGATAATAAACGTGAGTCTGTTCTCTCGACTGTAAAATAACATATGAAATAAGCTGCACAAATGGTAATGATTATAAAATCATTGTGATGCGTAATGAGCAAAACTATTTTCATTTACAGGTCCTTGTGAGAACAGAAAATTCCTTTGAAATCAACAGTCATCAACTCATATTCATATTGATGAATATCAATATGAAATGATATTCATCAATATAATATACATCAATATAATATAGCGATTTCATACCCATGTTTTTGAGACTGTCTTTGGTTCACTGCAGTTTTAATCAGAAATACACCACAATGCTGTCGATATAATTTACACATGGTGTGTCTTAAAGCATATTAAAAACACCATATAGACATAACATTAAAAGCTTCATTTTCTTTCTTTAAATCACTCCAGCCTTACCATTTCTGTTGATTCAAACTTTTAAGAACCAGAAATCATTGTATAATGTCAACATATAGCATTAAAAACACATATAGTAATAAATATAACATTTTATAAAAGCTACAGTTGTATCCTAGACGTTCTGTGCCTAAGTTTCCTCTGGTTTCTCTGTGACATTTCTATGTCAATCACTTTGGATTATCATTGTGTATGAAATGTTCTATAATAAATTTGCCTTACCTTGCATTAAAACGTGGTATTTCATTTCCATTAAAAAAAACTGAAATGGATTAAGGAAAAAACATAACATATAATAAAAATATCTTTCACTCGGTGTCTGTCCACTGACTACCCCTTTTTCTTTACTTTTTGAAAGGGGATCAGCCTCTCAACCAGCCTATTATTTAAGCTACTTAGCTTGAAGTCAGTCAGATTAAATGTTAATGTAATAAAATGATGAATGAACAAAACAACAAAATACATGCTACTGAAGTGCTAAAAGGTTTAATGGTCTCTTTTCTATATTAATCTGACTTTTTGTCCTAACCAGCCGTGAAAGAGATATGCAACTGTTTCTATTTAGATACATACAAAGTGTGACAATGATTTATTTAATGTTAAAGGGCGGGTCATGAACTGGCTTTTTAAATTTTATTATATTGTTGTCTGAGATGAAATTATGACGTTCGCTTGGTTTTTGCATTCAAAAACATCAAAATGAGTAAGTAATAAGCTATTTTCTACCCTAGTTTTCAGCCCAGCTCAGAATCAGAAACACTCGATTTATAATTGGCGTCTGCACTAAAGACCTGGAAGTAAACGCCCACTGCAGTGAGTGGATAACCGTTTTGCATTATAATGAGTTTGAACTCACCTCGTCGGTGTACGTGGGAAGTTTTGAAAACTCCAATGTTGTAAAATGGCGAACCGGAATAATTTGCCCATAAATGTTCGACCCAGAGTCCGTGTGTTGCACAATTCCTGTCAGATCCAGACGGCACAGCACCGTCCGCAAATCCAGTCTTGTTTACAATCCTCCTCAATGAATGAAGCGAACAGACGGTTTTACCTCATCAGCTGGAACGGCATTAAAAATAAAGTTTTGCAGTCCTATTGGAATCCAGAGGAAGCTCATGCAGCGACTGTCTACTTCCACAACCAGGCACTGCACAATATTTTGTAGTCCTCGGTAGCTCGATCCGGTTTGTCATCACAAGGTAGGCTTTAGCTATGCGCGCGCGAATCGGTGGGCGGGGCTAAACCGGCCGTGTTGAAGTATGTTGATCTTCTTCTGCGGGGGTGGTGTTTTAACCCCGTTGACGTAATAGTTTCCCACTTTTAAAAACGAGTCATTTGCGGGGCTGGTGTCAATAAAAGCTTTTATTGGACTAACAAGGACGTTTTCAGTTCTGAAACTTGCAGGATATTCTCATAATATGATGACCTCTTAGATGTCAAAAGCTCAAGGAAAATTTGATTTCTCAGTTCATGACCCTTTTAAAAGCATGTACTGTGAGTTTGAATATAAGTTTGCACAGCATTCATAGCTGTTCAAAAACGCAGATTCATTTAGTAATTAAACATTTATGCTGCCCGCCCGGATACAAGCGATGGCTGTACTGTTTCACCAATGAAAATTATTCCTAAAAGATCCAGAGCAAAAAAAGAAAGAAAAAAAAAGTACTGTTGTAGGCAATACTAACATTTGCCAACGTGCTGATATTCGAGAACTGTTCGTTTGGTTTTGCTTAAAGTGATAGTACAAATAATACAACAAAGTTTGTTTCTAGAAAAAAATTACATCAACTTCCATTTTAAGACAGATCAGTGTTTTGAATCTGATAAAAATAGGGACTACGTGATGATTTGGATAATGTAAACTGTAATGTGAAGGACAGGATTTTTATAGATCCACATGCGGTAACGAAGGTTTTTAAATCAATGCACTTGAAAAAAGCAACGGGGCCAGATAATATGTCCACTTTTCTTTTAAAGATATTTGCAGAGGAATTGTCTCCGGTATGGATCAGTTGTTCCAACTCTCTATTGATAAGCATGTTGTACCTTAGATTTGGAAAAAGTCTACTATATCTTTCCAGTCCCAAAAAAGGCATGTCTTCAGGAGGACAACGATTATAGACCCATTGCATTAACTTCCATGTCTTCAAGGGCCTGGAACGACTTATGGTAAATGTCCTTCGCTCGCAGGTGGAGCCAGTATTAGACAAATATCAGTTCTATGACCAACATAATGTTCACAGGAAAATAAGTAAGAAACATCCACTTTTGTTCTGACCAACTAAGGGAAAAAAGCATTGCATTAATTCGCGCCGATTAAATCTAACGATCGCTTATAACGTCAAACTGTGCAAATTATACTTTGTTTTCAAAGTTTTAATGTTCAACATCAGTGTTGCGTGACTAAATTTACTTTGTATTAGGGCAACCTGCAGTTCAGTTTCTATTTCTGGGCCGGTTGCAGTGTTTTTTTGTTTTTTTTTTGAGGACAGACTATTGAGGACGGATAGTATGCGAATTGGGACACAGCAATTATGTATTTTTTTCCTATATTATACATTAAGTGCACTAAGTGATTGAACAATCCTTCATATGTAACCAGTGAGAAGTTGGACGTTTAACCAGAAGGTCCAGTTGACATTTTCATTAAACATCAAAACAAATAAAATTAAACGTGAAATTGTTTACAATTGATCTAACATAGATATATTTAGGAAAATATACAGGATTTTGCAATCTAGCAGAGAATTGGTGTTTACAGAAATTATTTGACGTAAATGAATGACACAATGTTTGAAAAACCTCATCAATCATAGATAATAAAATGAACGATTCTTACTTTCTTGTGTAAGACCTACCAAATCCATCCAATGGCGGAATTCGATTTGAGGTGAAGGTTTCATGCGTATTCCGTCTTTCCCATGGCAAAGTGATTTTTTTAATTAAATCCAACACATTTTATTTTATGTTAACTCGTTTCATCTGACTCCTTTATCAATGATATCTGTGCATCATTAAAAATATGTTAATGTTTGACTATTCCTTTTAACTCTTAATGAAAATAGTCTGTTAGAATAACAAATATAACAATTTATTATGTCAGGTAAATGTATTATTACAATTCCATAATCAATTTACAGATAATCAATGCAAACCATTAAATGTTCCTAGAACAAAGACCTTTACCCAACATGTGGTTACGTGAGTTGAGAGTTGGGATACAGACAACAGCCCTGAACTCTCATTGGAAAACATCAGTTTACAGTGGAAAGTTACTGTATTCCCCCACTGGGGGAAGAAGATGACCATCTGCTAAGAACCTGCCTGACAACACAAACATCAAGTTGGCTGTCAAACTATTTACATACACAAAGGAGCATCTATTCAACATACGATTTGATTAGTAAAGTAGATCTAAAAAATAATCTGAGAAATACTATCCTATCAAGTGACATCAACCCTTCAAAAGTTTGGAACCAGTAAAACACTGAAGACTGGAGTTATAATGCTGAAAATACAGCTTTCATATCAGGAATAAATTAGGCTACATTTTACAATATATTCATATAGAAAATAAATGGATATTTTAAATGGTAATATTTCAAAATATTTTGGTTTCGCTTTATTTTGATGGTCCCTTTAACACATTCTTCAGCACTTGCGTGGTGTGACGTGGTGCGGTAGAAATAGCGATGAGGCTGGATCCAGATGCAGTGTGGCTTCATTAACAAACTACAAATTTAGACAAGAACAAATAGAAGGACCAGCACAAGTTCTGCCAGGAAGACTCATTTCTTCATGTCATGTATTACCTTCTCATGTACATTGCTTTCTGTTTGTTTCCGAGTCGAGTTTTCCTTTGCAAAGCAGATCAAATTTCTTTGCAAAATGCTGGATTTTTCTGTTTAATTGTGACACAATATTAACTCCATAGTATTCCACCACGTTTCTCACTCATAAAAATCAGGGATAAAATGAACAAAAAAATTAAAACAACAGTTATTCGTCACACATGCGCTGTTCTCCATCATCATTTTAGCTCCACGGGAACATTTCCAAATATGCACAAAATGAAACAGCAGGAAATTTAATTAAAAAAAAGTATTAAACTTATAATACATAGTTGAGATTTGTCACAAATGGGATGCAATAATGAGGAGGAACGAATGTAAATGCAGCAGTCTTCATTTTATTAACGAAGGAACTCAGAAACAGTACAAGCAACTTAAAACATTAAGTAAAACTGACAAAAAACTGAAAGAAACACAAGGCTAAAGAAAACAGAGAAAAACAATCAACATAAGAGACTAACAGAAACACCAGAGGAAACTTAGGCACAGAATGTCAAGTTTACGACTGTCACTTTTATAAAATGTTATGTTTATTACTATATATTTTTTAATGCTTTATGTTCTTAAAGGTTTGAATCAACAGAAACGGAAAGGCAGGAGTGATTTAACGTCCCCCTGCAGTGAAAATGAAGCTTTTAATGTTATGTCTATATGGTGTTTTTAATATGTTTCAAGACAAACCATGTGTAAATTATATCGACAGCATTGTTGTGTATTTCCTCCTTAAAACTGCAGTGAACCAAAGACAGTCTCAAAATTGCTGGTGTTTCTGACATCACAAATGACCTTGTGACCAATCAGATCAACGTGTGATCGTTAACCAGTGGATCTCTGAGTGAGTGAGTGGAGGCGGGGCTCATTTGCATATTCATAGAACCACGTTTACTAAATGAGGCAAGGGTGTCAAGTTACATTCAAGATATTTTAAGGCATAAAAAATGTGTCATTTTGCCATTAAATATGAGTTTTAAGGGACACAATTATTGACCAAAGGGGGTTTTAACAGTCTTTACACTGAAAACACGTAATTATGAAGAAATTTAATCTTGTCTATTTAGATTCAGATCAATATGAATGTGAATTTAGAGAGTTGAAGACTGTTGATTTCAAGGGGATTTTCTCGCAAGGACCTGTAAATGAAAATTTGTTTTGCTCATTACGCATTACTATAATTTTATAATCATTTCCATTTGTGCAGCTTATTCTATATGTTATTGTACAGTCGAGAGAACAGACTCACGTTTATCATCGTTCCCCTTCTGGATCACCCGTTCAGGAGTTTGAGTCCATCGCAGTGTCACATCTGTGAGTCCTCTATCAGCAAGAGCAGATCCCAACTGAAAATAACATTCATAATAAAATGATTAGATCAGAATGTGACGATAGACTCAAACGTTCCTCCCCTCCTGATCATTTTGCGCTTAACAAACACAGGGATTTTAGAAAGGGCACAAAGCACTCAGCGCATGTTCTTACCAATATTTCCCTCTGGGGATTGGCCACAGCAAAATCCCCAGTGTTAAATTAACACTCTAAAGTGTTTATATGAGTCCACACTCAGATAGTGTTAAATGAACACTGAAGCAGTGCTAAAGTTAATGAGATAATTAAGTGAATAATTAAGTGATAATCGAGCATTATCGAAGACACCTGATGTTAACAAGCAGAATCACTGAAGGAAAAAATCGTAATTGGTTTGTTACCATTGTGGAGATCAGTGTTTGCTTTAGTTAGGCTCTTGACCCTTAAATCATTAACTTAAGATTTTTGTTCGGCTGCTGTACATGAGTTATAACAGCCAGATGAACAAACAGAAATGTGATCTGTTGGTTTTGATTGTGTTTTAACATAATCAATAGTTGTTCTGAATCACTGAGCTCATTGAGAGCATAATTTTTAGAGTTAAATTTACCTTATGGCAATGCATGATGGGAGCCATGAATGAGATTTAATTGGTGGCATCCAGAATATGCTGCAAAATGCTTTATAATTGTCACCATTGTTGAGATAAACAGGCTGATTCTTGATGTCTGTTTAAAAAAAATTGTTTCGTATGTGATTAAGTTGTAAGGATTAAGGGCGGTGAGCAAACTGTATTGTGTAACCCCTTTCAACTGTTTTAAAACCCAAGGAGAGATACTTGTCTGTAGTTTCCAAACTGCCAACGTCTCCGAGGGGAACTAGTTTTGATACTTCATCTTTTTGGGATGTATATTAAATGTTCTGTGTCCTGAGAGATAGCAGGAAGCAACAGAATATTCAACATTTTGCTGGAAACCACTGCCACCCAAAACATCAAAGGTTGTTGGGATGGAAGAGCGGTGTTGTGAGTGTGTTATCTACTAGTGTGAACACGCCAACGGAGAGCGCGTGCTATTCAAAGAATAGCATAAGAATTCATAAGAATCATCTACTTTACATTGTCTTATGACGCATAATACTATCGTAACAATAATCATGGAAAATTTACCTCAGAAATGCTGGTTTAGTTTCATTTCGAGGAACAACACATCCAGCTGAGGATTGTGAATAGTAAGTTTGTGCTTTGTTCTAATCGTGATATGGAATAATGTCTGTAAACCATTTAAAGGTTGAATTGGTTTCTTTCCCTCACCTGTTTCAGAACATTTTCTCTCATTGAAGGGTCAGTCAGATCATTGCCGGAGTTAAACTGCATTTTTACAAATGACCCTTTTAAACAGGGACCTAAACAAACACAGTCACACATGTAAATACATAAAACTTTGAATTCAATTATAAATTGAAACATTAGAAATATTGGAACCTAAACATTGACTTTTCTTAAAACATTTCCCTGTTCCTCACTGTGTCTTGTTTACAAAAATATAGGACCATGTGAAGACATTATTATTATTATCTGATTTTATAAAGCAATATGAGTGTGTACCTTCTCCATAAACCTCCAGCTCACAGAGAGAGAGTGTCTTCATGTCTCCAGGAACGATCAGATTCACATAACGTCCCTCCATCCCACCACATGAGTAGTTGTAGGACTCGCCTGCTGGAATAGCAGGAATAACAGCACATCTACAGACAGAGAGAGGAACCGATGAAGGAGATCAAGATACTGTCAATTATTCAAATTCTCATTTGTACTCAAGCTCTCATGTTCTTTCAACCTCAAGAGTCTCACATGGGATTGTTGCTGCCGTTGTTCTCCAAAGAGTTCCCGATGCGAATCTCTGCTCCGTTTATTTGTTCTGTACAGCAGTCTCGTCTGTTAGTGACGACCACTTTACTAACTCGGTACACGTCACGCAGATCCAGCCTCCACCACGGGTTAGTCTGATTAAGGGTTGAGGAGCATCCCGTGTACAACTGCTGGAGACCTCGATTACTGTCAATGGCCTTTTCAGCAAACCAGTCCCCAGATGTTGACGACTGTGTAGCGGCTCCTCTTACTGCCCGATTTCCTAGAAAAATGATCAAAAACTGTTTTGATGAGAGAAAAAAATAAACTAGGCTTTACAACCCATAACCTCTGACATGTTTGGCAAAAGATCCACCACCAGACCATTAAAGAACTCAAACAACATTTGCGGATTGATGGATCTACAGTTTGACTAGTTTGTACCAGCACTTCTGAATGCGTCTCTGTCCCCAGCACATTTCAAACCAAACTAACGCCCGTAAAACGCACCGCATTTAGCGTCCAGTAACGTCAACGGCATGTAATGACGGGAAAAGTAATTGGTTACCCTGTTACTGAAAAAATAACATTGTTACCTAACACCATTCTTTTAAATGGTGTTATTCTAAACTCGGGTTATGTCTTGGCTGACCAATCAGGTTCAAGAATTTCAGAGAGCTGTGGAATAAAAATGGTTTATTACTCTCGATGTTGAAATATGCTATACAAACATTACCTGCCAAATCCCCATAGACTCCAACTTCAGCAAGACTAAGAATCTTGTCATTTCCAGGAATATGAACAACCATGTAACGTCCCACCATCCCGCCGCATGAGATAGTGGCCGTAGCGCTGGCCGCAAGACTGGAAATTACAGCACATCTAGAGAGATAATCTGTTATCAGTTTCTGTTCATCTACAGCCACATTCATCAACACAGTCAAAGGAAGACTCACATGGTGTTGCTGTAAATGTCAGGGAAGATCCCGACGTGAATCACAGCTCCGTCTATCCTCGAAGGAAAGGTGTTTCTGTTAGTAATGGTCACTCTGTTCACGCTGTATACCTTCAGTAGATCCACTCTCCACCACGGGTCGGTCTCTGAGTTAGTGTGAGTGAAGGTGTCAATCAAACCATCTAGCGCAAGTTCAGTGTTAAAGCCTGGATAAATTGACGACTGAGTAGTTTCACCCCAAAGTGCTGCATTCTCTGGAAAAGTTTTTCAAAGGCAAAGGCAACATTTGTCAAACAGAAAAAAAAACAAAGGTAATTTTTTTTAAAAAAAGAGTGGTTCTTACCTTCTTGTCCATTTGCTTTTTCCACAATCAATACAAACCCTGTGGAATCAATATTCAAGTGAATATCAGAGAACCAGGATTTGTTGAATCACATTCTGAAACTTTTCTGAAATGTGTGATGTGTTTTCTCTTTGTTTTTCCATATGTGACTCTAAAATCTACCTTCGGATACAAATAAAGTAACTTGAACTTGAGATTTGTTGATTTACTTTGAAATTGTAAATAACTCAAAATAAAAACGAATGATAATGGAATCAAAAAAATCTGAAGAAGCACAACTGTTTTCAGCATTGATGATAATCATATGTTTCTTGAGCATTGTAGAGATTCTTAGCTCAAATAAAGGGGATATACTTTTAATAACTGGTCATATGTCCAGTAATCGCATAAATAGATTCAAATTACCTGTAAATGGAATAAGTTTGCAACGAACGGTCTATATGGACAACTGAATACAACGAATTATAGTCAGTTCTTCATACAGGCAGGCAAAATTAGATCAATTGTACACTCACCTAAAGGATTATTAGGAACACACACTAAAACTGTGTTTGACCCCCTTTCGCCTTCAGAACTGCCTTAATTCTACGTGGCATTGATTCAACAAGGTGCTGAAAGCATTCTTTAGAAATGTTGGCCCATATTGATAGGATAGCATCTTGCAGTTGATGGAGATTTGTGGGATGCACGAAGCTCCCGTTCCACCACATCCCAAAGATGCTCTATTGGGTTGAGATCTGGTGACTGTGGCGGCCATTTTAGTACAGTCAACTCATTGACATGTTCAAGAAACCAATTTGAAATGATTCATGGTGCATTATCCTGCTGGAAGTAGCCATCAGAGAAAGGGGACATGGTGGCCATAAAGGGATGGACATGGTCAGAAACAATGCTCAGGTAGGCCGTGGCATTTAAACGATGCCCAATTGGCACTAAGGGGCCTAAATTGTGCCAAGAAAACATCCCCCACACCATTACACCACCACCACCAGCCTGACCAGTGGGAACAAGGCATGATGATCCATGTTCTCATTCTGTTTACGACTCTACCATCTGAATGTCTCAACAGAAATCGAGACTCATCAGACCAGGCAACATTTCTCCAGTCTTCAACTGTCCAATTTTGGTGAGCTCTTGCAGATTGTGGCCTCTTTTTCCTATTTGTAGTGGAGATGAGTGGTACCCGGTGGGGTCTTCTGCTGTTGTAGCCCATCCGCCTCAAGGTTGTGTGTGTTGTCTGCATACCTCGGTTGTAACGAGTGGTTATTTCAGTCAAAGTGTCTCTTCTATCAGCTTGAATCAGTCAGCCCATTCTCCTCTTACCTCGAGCATTAACAAGGCATTTTGGCCCACAGGACTGCCGCATACTGGATGTTTTTCCCTTTTCACTCCATTCTTTGTAAACCCTAGAAATGGTTGTGCGTGAAAATCCCAGTAACTGAGCAGATTGTGAAATACTCAGACGCCAACAACCATGCCATGCTCAAAATTGCTTAAATGACCCTTTTTTTTCCCATTCTGACATTCAGTTTGGCGTTCAGGAGATTGTCTTGACCAGGACCACACCCCGAAATGCATTGAAGCAACTGCCATGTGATTGGCTGATTAGATCATTGCATTAATGAGAGAAATTGAACAGGAATCCTTTAGGTAAGTGTATATATCAATAATCAATCACAACGAATTATAATTAAATATTAATATTTCAATTGTCTACGATAGATCGGAGTCCAAGGATAAACTGTCATGGGGTCAATTTATTATCGAATAATCTGCTTTTTCCAGCAAAACTGATCGTCCAGTCTTCATCAAACCTAAATAAATAACTTTCCTGTTCTATAAAAATACTATTTAACAGGGGCGGTTTCTTCATTAGGGCGATTGGGCGACGCACCACCAAAGTGTGAATCACATTCGCAATCTCATTCAACCAGAGAGTTACCCTAGCCGTCACTGGATATAGTCCAATCAGCGTCATGTCACGTTCTGTGGAGTACCGCCTCTTTTTGGGCGATTTCACTCTGGCTGAGAATCGCCCAGAGTGTTCCCATAGACTTGCATTCAAATATTTTATTTTTTTTCGAACTGCAGGCACTGCAATGCATTCTCTATGGGTTCCGGGAGGGCTCGCACTAACGTGCTTACATCATCATACGCATCCTTAACTTGTGCAGCGATTGGTGGGAACAAACATAAGATTAAGTGAAAAATAATATTTTAAAACAATTTTGAATTTAAACAACAACAATAAAAAATGAAACACTACTTTATTATCTTTATTAAATTGATTTAAACAAGTCTGAACAAGTCTTGATTTGAACAATGTCATGGCGAACACAGTCCTTTAGAAGCCTAACTTACACAGCAAATTTCAGGAGTTGAAAAATCATGAGTTAGCAAAAAAGTTATTTTTTTTTAACTCTAACTACACTTTGTGTTATTGGATACTCCCGGGCTGTGTTGTATTTTGGAGTTCATTCATTGGCGTTCAGGAGTGTGTTTTGGTTTTAACGCTAACGTTACACCTGGAGTTATTTTTGAGAAGTGCGCCACGACACGACCCTGCAGCTGGACAAAGGAATAATGGACTTATGTGCCTCGTCGTGAGGTAGGTAAAAGAGTATATAAAACTATTTAAAAATGTTCTATATTTTCTGACAAACACGTTTGGTCATCGCGTAGCTGCTACGTTATAGGCTAGTTAGACTGTTTACTAACGTCAACGACTATGACAAACTTGCTGTTGAACGTTTGTTTACTTGTTTCAAATTTTGAAATGGCTATTTGCGTGGGGGTTTGTCGATGTAAACGAGTTAACATTAGCTAACCGTCTTTCCATTCACCGTGTTTCTGAAAATGAGTGTTTTACCGTGAAATTGATGCATCAATACATTACAGGCATACGTGGTAACACAATTGCAGTGTCTAACGTTACCCTGGAAAATAAGTTAGTTGTGCTGTGTAGGCCTGCAATTATTTGAATTGTAATAGCTATAACGTTACCCAGATAGCAAACTGACATTGAATCAACGTGGAAATATGACATCGAAACAACGTTGAACCAACGTCAGACGCGTCATTCTTTCAAAACTAACGGAAAATCAACTTGAAATCAACGCGTTGTTTCAACGTTATGAAAGCAAACCAATTTTCGATTTTCATTTAGCTTTGAAGAATGCCGCGTCTGACGTTGGTTCAACGTTAATTCGATGAGCAAAATCAACGTTGTTTCAATGTCATGAGAGACGTCGTTTCCACATTGATTCAATGTCAGTTTGCTGTCTGGGTAGGCTACGTGGTGACCCACGATGTGCGTGATTTTCAGCTAATATATTTTTGCATTCTCAATGAATGGTGCTAGATTATGCCTCATACTGTTTTTGTGATCTTCAGATACGACTGTCCTGCAGAAAACCGGTTGAAGGTTACTCCTCAAATCAAATGGATTTGCTGAAATAAAGGCAGTAAATCAAGAATATGGTGTCCAGTGTAGTAATTTCCACACAAAACATTATATTGTGTTGAATAAATGTTAACTCTAAGAAGTGTTAAACTCAATTTTTTTTTTAAGTGTTACTTTTTAACACTGGTATTGAGTTCATATAATTATTTTTATAGACTTACATTTACTCTCCGTAGGATTAGTATTTTAACTCCATAAAGAGTTACATTTTAACTCTGAAAAAGTGTTAATTCAACTCCAAGAGCAGAGTTATTTTAACTCTGCACTGGAGTCTATTTGATGGTCTCACATGTACACTCAGATTGAGTTGATTTTAACTAACAGGGAGTTTATTCCAAAACCCAGAATTTGCTGTGTATGGAGGACTGATCCAGCTCTCGATTTAATCAAAAATAATTTGTGTTCCGAAGATGAACGAAGGTCTGACAACATGAGGTTGAGTAATTATCATTTTTGGGTGAACTATCTCTTTAAGTGAGTAATGTGATAAAATAAGTGTAATAATAGTGAGTATAGAAACAAGAAGATTTATTGGTGTTAAGTCACTTTATTAGTCATTAATATTAAAGTGAAGTTGACTTTACATGCTTAAGACGTTAATTTATCCATTGCATGGGTGGGCCTTGTCCTTTTCAATCATCCAAATATTTGCCCCCCCCCCTGAGAGATTTTGTAGGAGCCGCCACTGCTATTTAAGTATTGAAAATTTTGACCGAACATTTAAGGAACCTCGTAGTGTGAGCAGCAGACGGAGTCAATCAAATGAATATAATGTATTTAATAAAGGAAAACTAAACAGTCTGAAAGCTCGATAAAATGAATATTTGCATATAAGGTTCTCTTATGTTGCTGAGTAAGGAAATCGCGTGTGTGTCGCACGTTCTCCGTGGTTCTTCCGGTGTGGGGAAGAGAAGAAGTTGAAGAGCTGAAGACTGAAGACCATGGAAAACGGGAGAGGGAGAGGAACTGGCGACTGGCCAATAGGAACGTGGCCATTACACAATTTTCACACTGAAAGCAAAATCCTGACTCGAGAGGAAGAAATTCAGTAGCACCTCAATGCAGTACATGAGATCCACGGGGAGGAGTCGGATCAAGATCCAAGGGGTGGAGTTGGGTAGGATTAGGGTTGGGTTTAGGGATTAGGGGCGGAGTTTGGTAGGTTTAGGTGTGTGTAAGGTGGGAGGAGTTGGATCTGGATCCGACTCCTCCCTGTGGATTTCATGTTCTGCAGTGAGAACCATCTCAAGAAATTGCATCATTTTGAGAGGAACACTTTTTTTTTTTTTTAAAGATAGAAAAAATATATATATATTAAATTTTTTCAAAGTATTTTGAGAGAGATTTTTTTTTTCTCAGAAATAATTGTAAAAATGTCTAATTTATACATTTTTTATGTTCTTCTTATTATTTTTTGCTATTGGTATGAATTGGTATGGTACTTTTTCTCTCAAATAATTTAGCTCTCTCATGAAATGCTTTTTTTTCCAATGTGATAACCTTTTCTCTCAAACATTTTTTTTTCTCTGAGATAATTTTATATTCTCGCATGTAATAAAGACACAATCCTAGCAAGCGGCATAAAAACGATAC